TATCTTAACATCATTTTCATATTTGGAATGACTGTCTCCGATTAATTTGATGTAGTCTTGGTATTCATCAAATCCATCGAGAACAACAAATAACTGCTCCGGATGTTGAATGATGTAGTTCATCAACGTTTCGTCTATCATGGTTGTTGTGCCCAGTAAAGGGGAGCGGTTGAGTAATTTTCTGAGAGTGAGCTTTTTCTTGCCAAGGAGATTAAGTTGCCTGAACGTTATCAGGTAGGTGAACTTGATTTTAGGCATCGATATGCAATTCCCTGACCACTCTCTCAATATTTTGTACGAAAAAAGCGTTTTTCCAATACCAGCTTCGCCTGAAATCAAAATTAATTTTGGGTTGTCGTCGTTTTCGCCAACAAAAACTTCAGAGATTTTTGTCATCGGTGTTGCATCACTTTGATCTTCTTGTGGTTTTCGTCGCTGACATTTTTTTAAAGATTTTTGTTTTCCATGGTAAAAATCCAAATTTGTGAAAAAATCGTCTGTTTTCAGTCTTGATTGATGTGGTCCTGGTAGGAATTTGGTTTCCTTTTTTATCGCTTCCTTGAGGTTTTTGGAATACAATTCCACATCTGGTAATTAAATAGTTCAAATAATATCCAGTAGGCTTGCACTGAAAGTTATCATTCTCTAAAGCTACAAACAGCTGGGAACGAATTCAGTATCATCAAAACTCGGCGGCTCATTTAGCTGCCGTCTTAACCAGTTCTCTTGGACCTGTAAACAACTTCGGGGAATGGATTTCATTTAACATAATCGCTGACAGTCGATAATTCTGCTCTTAAACTTCTATTTTATACTGTGTTTTGACAATTGAGATAAGTAAAAATCTAATTTGTTGACTGCATCTACGCTAGTTAATACATTCAACGCTTAATAAAGTAAAATTTTTCGAGGAAATTATTTTTTCACCTACTGTAAAAAACAAAATCGAATATAATGAAACGAAAGGAATAATCCAATACTAGACCAAACTAGTCTCATTCCCGGTTTCCTGAGATTATCCATACCGAATTAGCGATTATGCTTGTGGTCAAATGTTCCCTTTATAGTTTCTCAAATAGAGAATAAAGTCGGAATAATATGCTTTATAAATATTTTAAAGATAGTGGGATGGAAGTTGTTTTGAATTATTTAAGGAATCTAATTAAGGAAGGACATTGTTTATTCATAAACTGTTCTACAAATGAGTTTCACACACAAGAGTGTGACATTTAAACGGGTTAAAACGAACTTTATTGTTTTAACATAATCAGAATTAAAATCTGTGKCGTTTAAGGTTMAATGGRAAACACTTGTTTTATTTACATATTGAATATTTTRAACTGTTGTTTCCATGTCASMTYGTCGGAAGCGAGTTCGGAAATCCCSCGACCATMAATGARAACTTGTAGTGCGACGGTATGATGGACATTCTAAAATCGGAGGTCTTCCCTTTTCCTCCGCCGCTTGATCTCTTCCGATAYTTCGGATGTATGAAAGTATAGCGAAAATCAAAATTTAAGAACCGGGAAAGAAATCGAAAAGCCAATCACAGCACTCTCTCCAGGTCCTCTCGGTTATTAAAAAATCTGAACAGCATGGGGCCGCCATTTTTAATTTTACATGGAAACTTCTGCCGTTATCAMTTCCATTCAAGTATTTTATTCAAATGAGTTTTAATACCTATATTTACTTTTCGTTTACTTATCGTACGCAGCTTTTCAGCGGTCACTATAGAGAYGCAGTCCACCCTAAAATATTCTGTCATCCRTGGACTYGTCATGACAAGAAAATTATTCACTAAATGATGAGGTCTCTCAGCTTTAAAAGATGAGGAAATGTTTCATTATAGGCTTAAGGGGAAATTATAGGTGTTTGCTGATAAGCGCCCTCTTTTAACAAATTATCATAAACTATAAACCTCCCAATATCAATTAAAAAAAAAAATAACTAAATGACATTATTTTTCATTGCTTAGCAATCAAAACGATCACCATAATTATGAAAGCGCATATCGGGGAATATTTGTACTGCGCTTAACCAGAGAAAAAGAAACTGACCAAAGCTAAATATAAAATCGAGCAGTGACTGAGTAAACTGCTTTTATTATGCCGAATTAAGTTTTTTGGAGAGAAAAAGGGAAAATAATTTCAAAGTAATTATACCATAGTATTTTCTAGAATAATCAGCTGTCCAAAAATTCAATATGTTATTTGACAACATACGGTGATCTTATTCGGCATTTTTGTTTATAAAGTAAGCTAAAACTAAGAGAAGTCATACTTCTCTCKCATGCTGTGGTTAAAAGCTTTGAGAGAGTCACTGGTATAAACTATGAATACAAAGAGCTTACTCGGAAGAGGGCAATTTAAATGTTCTTCAAACCATTGTAATTTAAGCATGGCTTTTAGAAAACCACTTATCAGTCTTCTTTATATTTCAAAACTAAAATAAAATGGAAAATCAAAATGCTCTCTGAATGGCGGAAATCCAAAAAAAAAAAACACATTTTTATGAGAACGTCGAAGTATCGGCCATTTTGAATGTGGCAGATGTCAGTCCCTTGATTTAATATTAGGTTAAAATAGAATAGAATTTTCGAGAAAATATTCAGAGATAAATAGATATTATCATGTTGATTGGTAATGTTTGTTTATCGTTTTGGAACTCTACATGAATCTATCTTGCAATCTTCCAAATGAATCCATTTTGATAATTACTGTTTTTTACAGTTTAAACATAGGTATKTTATCAATTATAAATATTTTAGCGTTAAAAAATGATCAACAATGACAAGCGGCCATATAATATTTGTTTATAAAACTGAAAACCGTTGCTAAAATATTAAATAACTATAAACCGTATATTTTGAAACATCAAATGAAACTTTGAAAACCTTATTAATAATATATCATAAGTTATTTTGTTAAACCGATTGAGATAGAAAAAATATATATGAGAAAGTGACATTGAAAGGTATGAAAATTAATTCATCAAAAGCTGCATTAAACGTGGCCATATATGTGATGTTAAGCGATAAAATGATGCTCTTAAGCAATGGAGTTCATATATCTGACATTTTCTTTTCTTAAGCGGTTAATATATGCCCCCCCTTACTTTTTTTTACTTTAGAACACCTGGTACGTAAAAAAGTCATATCATAATCTCAATATGAAAAAAACATGTTTCCTTGGAAGGGGAATTATTAATATTGAAACAGAATTTTGTGCTCAATCATACATAAATCATTCAATTCTAAATATKTTTACTCTAATTTTGTAATAGCAAAAACCTAGGCCTCAGGATATAAATATTTTAAGTAACTCCACCTGTGTTTGGAGTCAAAGGATTATACCGTRCATTGCGAAACCAATTGCATCTAGAACAAACGTGCTCTGATTGGTTGATTACTTCATACGACAAACCCACAACAGAATAAGGTCAATTCACTATCGTAGCAGTTATGCAATAAAACAAACTTACCCGCTGTGAAGAGGTTGAACAGTAGGAGATTCATCAATATGAGTCAATATCTACTGACACGTCACGTTCACGAATTTTCCATTTTTTGATCAAGATTTTTCTTTAAGTTAAAAGAATTTCATTCTAAAACACAAAACACTTACACTTTGATTGTTGATGCTTAAGAGCAGCAAATCTTTTAAACACGATGCACAGTTGGAAACTACGAGACATCATCGATTTGAATTACTTTACTTTGAAAACGGAACATGAAAAAAGTACTTGAAAAGTACTTATCGTCCGCAATAAAATTCTTAAAAAAACATTGCTTGATTGCTTGACATTATTTTAAATCGTCATAGTTATGAATTTAAAGTCGACCAATGTAAGACCAATAAAACATGGCCGCTCTTGTTGTAAACTGAATAATATCTCATCTGTTTTCTCTTATTTATTTTTTTTTTCTCTTAAATTCCCTCTTAAGTTTCTGGGCACAATTCTTTAATGTAAGGCCTGTCCCAAACGTCTTTTAAATCACACATCCAACGCTAATGGTCATTCCATTCGTCCATCTTGAAGGACTTTAAATTGTCCTGTGATGGTGATCACATTTCAAGATGGCGGAGGGGGGAATAGTCTCCTTCATGGTTTCCTGCGTTATSTTGAAAGGTATAGCCGTGCCTGTGAATCAAAGCAAGATAACCGTTGAGCATGCTATACTAGATACCTGTGAATAATTGTCTGTATGTGTGAAAGAAGGTTTCTACCACTTTTATTATATTTCAAGATTGCGCAAGGGAGAGTGTGACGGAGACTATTCTCATTTTACACGGTTTAATTTCAGATCAAACATGTRACTTGGTTTTCGAATGGAAAGGCTGCTACAAACTGTCAGYAAAGAATCTTGAGACAGTGTACGGCTTTGAGATGTTATTTAGGCACGATGTCTCCACGAATTACACAAGGATATGGAAGAATTCCATGACGCGACTGGCGTGTATGTGTGCAAGAAAATCATTGCAGTATAACTTTAAAGTCTTTGCACTGAAATTCCCATGTAAGTCCTTGAGATTTGTATTGCTTATAGTTATCATCGCATTTTGATTCCCGTTTTACTAACACAGTCAACAAGCTACGAAATAAGTAAAACATGAAATTACATCACTTTTAATTAATCATTATTTTTATTTATTTTTTTATTTTTTTTGCCAAGACTCATGGAAGTAATCACCATAACCTATCATTAATCAGCAAATTCTTATCGTTTCTTTAACATAACTGCAAACAGCTTTTTGCTATGGGCGACAACAACATATAGCGGTAAGAAGGAGTGACAGAACCGAGACAAAATGCGAACGACAGAATCAAAGTAAAGCGTGTGATCAGCCACAGTCGCTGTGTGTTGGTTTGAATGAAGGTGCATCCATCTATTCAATGGGTACGTAAAGCTCTGAGTGTCNTAGATATCAAAGCCCAAGATAAACTCTGAATTTTTCACAGAAAAAATGATTACAAATTCAGTCTCAGTCCTCTTGTTCCAGTTTGCTTCAGTGATATCGAAATTGAGTTATTGCGTAGTTTTACACATTGTCAACATTTATTGGTCTTAAGAAAATATATGCTTTTCAAGCAGGGTCATTGTAACAAAAAATCAATCAATATAGGTCTTTTGGTCTTTTTCCAAAATCACCTAAAATATATTTTGCTGATGAAAACTTCGAGTCCATGTTTAAGCCATATGGAGATTGTGTTTGTATAAACAAAATAATCGGAATTTGATGTCACTAACCTTCATTTGAGGATATTGATTTAGTTAGTTTGTGCCGTCGTTTTTTGATTTCAATAAGTAGCTTCTCTTGTCCTTTCTGTTGATCTTTCCTAAGTTCTTCAATATCTTCTCGTAGACCTGACTGTTCTTGCAGTATGGCTTCTTTTTGTTGCAGTTGATCTGATTGGCTTTGCTTTATTTCTTCTACAGTTTTTTGAAGCTCTTGCTGGCTCTTCTCTACTCTGTCTACTTTCTTATGTAGTTGATCGAGTTTTTCGTTTACTGTGAAAAGATAACTTCAATTATTCTTAATTTCAATCATTTCTTATTTTATTTATTGCTTTGGCAATAATAGTGTTACATTCGTACTTTCCTTTCTACAACAGAAAAAATCACAACCAGATATGGAAAAGCGAAGACTCACTGTGATTTCTCAATAGAATATCATTAAAAGATCCAACACATCAGGAAGAAACAATTGTAACATGTTGTAAGAAGAATAAAGGCGTTTGACGCTATTTTCCCGATAATTGAGGGAGGTCCTCCATTTTTCAGGGTCTTCGGTCTTCGTTTTCTAGACCTTTCTAGGGACCGTAAAAGCAAGTTTCAAAAACAAACCCAATTAAAACAAAATAAACAACTGCAAAGGCTTTCGGATGGAACCAAATAGCCTTTTAACTTGTTGATGATAGCTGACACTAGCAAATGCTTTATACCTTTATAAAATCCTCCTAAGATGTCTTCATCTTGTGATGCAAAATGCTTTACAATAGCTGACAAGTCTTTCCATGGCTGCTGTACAGCTAAATAGGCAACAGAGGAAAAATAATATTTAAAAAATTATATGAAATTTAATAGAGAAAAAAACTGCAACGTGGAAAACAAATGCAAATTCCCTGCATTTTTTAACCTTGCCGCAGACCTGGAGACGGTAATTATACTTAATCTGATTTGTGACTTGTATTGTAATTAAACAGACGTTTCGCTAGCAAAAGCAATGGAAATGGCTTAGGAAAGACGGCTTTACAGAACAAATAATCATTACAGAAAAGAGCCATGTGAGAATAGCATCATTAACTCCTGCACTGCTTACCTCACTGTCCAAGAAATTTTTTAAAAATATATGTCAATTACCTTCCACAACTTCTCTAAAATCCTTCGATGAGGCTCCAAATGCCATTAATGCGCTGCACACATCATCGTACATAATGGTGAATTCTGATGACTCGATTCTTCCACTCCCTGTATGGCAGATTTGGTTTCTTATTTCCCTCAAACATTTCAAGCTATTAACTAAATCGGATTCGGACACAAGTGGAGGCCAGGAGCTCAACAGTACTCTGATGAGGATAGATATATCCCATGTTCTTGAATCACCCGACCTGACTTTTGGTATTTCATAGGAAAGTGGCTTGAATTTTCTCAACAAATCAGCCCCATTTTGAGGACAATCTGTCCATGGAGCAAAGTCGCCCAAAGAATTCCACTCGTTTATGAAAAACTGCCGTAACTTTACCAAGCCTACTCTGTAAAGCAGTAGTGTTATACACATGTAATTCCTGAAAATAAGTGAAAACATATTGTTGGTGAAATTTTATTATTCACCTTTTATATATGATATACCTGAACGTCTTCTTATTTCGGACAACTTGTCCATCATCAGGGCAAAATGAAATTACATTTGTGTCCTCACGTACGCATTGTCATTTCATTTTGCCCTGATGATGGACAAGTTGTCCGAAAGCTCGGAAATTAAAAACCTTACGCAGAAGAAGCAAATCTTAGTATTTAAAGTTTTGTACGTTTCATAAACCGCGTGATGTGACTCAGCAATTCGCAACGTATCTTGCTCAAATTTGACAGATCAGCTCAGTCTGCACTGTGAGGCGAACATGTTATTCGGTGATTTGTTCTCCCACGATTCATATAGCTTTAATCAAACTATTATTTGTTTGCGTGGTAAGGTCTGCCTTAAACGCGTATGAAAAGATACAAGCGTTGAATCAGACGAATGTAAAGCCCATGCATTGGAGCAAAGATTGGAAGAAGAGTGATGAAAGGTCGAAAGAGAAATGAATGAGATATTCAATTCTTTGCTTCGCTTATGATGTCCGGGTCTTCCACCGATAAGATAACAGTGATAACCGCGGACGGTCTATATTTCTTAAATATAGGTAAGATAACAGAAGGGCACAAAGACAGACATGGGAAAAAATATATATAGAAATACGAATTCACAAGAGAAAAATGGCGAAGATCAGTCATAAGGAAACGAGAGATTGAAGTTTTGAAGAATAGTTTAGAAGCAGGAAAAGAAATTTTACTAGTATTCTTCAAAGTTTGAAGTTCAGATTTTAACGCCCAATGAAGTATGAATTCTCATTAATAAATAATAAATAAATAAGCAACCCTTTACATCGAACCATAATAGTTCTGATTTGTTGTTAACATGTCGAGCTGGATGAATTTTAATTTTTTTAGTGAATTTCGTTTTTTTTAAGTTATTTTCCTCACTTAGTGTACAGATTACATCAACCTGTGATCCTACCTTTCTTCGACATCCAAATGTTGCTGGATCTGACTTTGATGTTGTTCCTTCATTAGTTGCTCTTGTTCATTCTGTGGGTCTGCTCGCTGAAATTGCTCCATTGGCTGTTGTCCTTGCTGTAGATCAGACCGTCCTTGCTCTATGCCCGGTTCGTTTTGTGATAGGTATTGGTTCCGCTGTAGACCGTCCTGCAAACTCTGATGCTGATCAATTTCGCCACTCACTGAGAAATCAGAAGAAATATAGTTATTTTTAAAGGCGAGAGCAACTTAAGAAGTCACACCTAAAAAGATAAACATGTCTTAAATTGTGTTTGCCATAATCTACAAAAACTACAAATCAGAGTTATATATTAACAATCTTTTCTCTTTCTGTTCTGTTATCTCATTCAGATAACACTCACCTCTTACACTTGATTTTGACTTTTCATCTGGGCTTTGTTTGTTATCTTCTGGAAAAAAATGATTTTTATTAATGAAATAATTTCTTTGTTTCATTTATTTATTTATTTATTTTTCGTAGCGGGTACGCTTCTGTCGCCCCTGAAACATTAAGGGGAGCCAGAAGTACATAACCAGAAGTGTCCATCTCCCTAATAATATCACCACAATCAGATGTCCCGATAATCTATTTTTAGRCAACCAATCACAGTGCGCGCACATATTACGCGGCACCTGATTGGTTCTTGTTGATCTACTTCAAGAGCGGACAAGAAAGGAAAATTATGTAGTCGATGGAGCTGAGGCGAACGAATTGAAGTTCGCATTTACGAGAATTTTACACCTTTTGCTGTGACAATCATTTTTGAATTCTATAGAAAACATACTTTACTATATGATCAATGTAGCAAAAGTATTTCAAGAGCAATATGGTCTGCAAAAACTAGGGAAAAGTTCAGACAAAGATGAAGAAAAATGTAAAACAGCGTGCGAAAAAAATAGTCTAAAGTATCTTTCTTACAGTCAAATAGAGTCGGACTTAAACAAAACCAAAGGTTAATAAGTAATTTGATAGACAACGTACTTTACTATAAGATCAATGTAGCAAAAGTATTTCAAGAGSAATATGGTCTACGAAAACAAGGGAAAAGTTCAGACAAAGATGAAAAAGATGCAGACAAAGGGAGTGCGAAGAAATGTCTGCAAAAATGCAATTGAAAAATGTAATTTTTGTGGCGAGAATTGTTCTCGTTTTAATAAGAAATCTGTTCTACAATTAAAAAGCCCTTAGACTATACATAGAATTGTAGTAAAGGTATTTTAGGATCTAAATATAAAAATTATAAAAAGGGGAAAACTAATACAAAACGATGCGCGAGTGCGAAAAATGTCACAAAAAGTCAATCAAAAACTCTTTTTTTGCGAAATGATGTTCAAATTAAGTTCATATTATATTGTGAACTCTTCACTGTGTAAGGAGTTGAAAAATGATTGTTCTTTGAAAGAAAAAGTGAGGAATAAACAAACTAGCGAATAGGTACAGAGGGTAATAACGAAAACCAAACAATAAACAAGATAAGTTGTGAAAAGCCACAAACAAGAAAAGTCATCAAAGAAATATCGATAGCTAACTTGAATTTCAAAACAAACCCCGCCTACCTGAAAATTTACAGCTTTTCCATCTCACGTTAAAAGTCGAAAATTACTTTACCTTTGGTTTTGTTTAAGTCCGACTCTATTTGACTGTAAGAAAGATACTTTAGACTATTTTTTTCGCACGCTGTTTTACATTTTTCTTCATCTTTGTCTGAACTTTTCCCTAGTTTTTGCAGACCATATTGCTCTTGAAATACTTTTGCTACATTGATCATATAGTAAAGTATGTTTTCTATAGAATTCAAAAATGATTGTCACAGCAAAAGGTGTAAAATTCTCGTAAATGCGAACTTCAATTCGTTCGCCTCAGCTCCATCGACTACATAATTTTCCTTTCTTGTCCGCTCTTGAAGTAGATCAACAAGAACCAATCAGGTGCCGCGTAATATGTGCGCGCACTGTGAAATAATTGAGAGTTCAATTCCCTGAGATAAACTACTAATGGTTTTGATTACCTTCAGACTGAGACCTCACCGTTCTTCTTCATCCAMCATGTTAGACAATCACATKGTTTCTGAATCTGAAAGCACTATACAAAGGAACAAATATCGTTTTAGTCTTACTTCGCATTTGATACCTCGTTTCCAGGGCCTTCACTTTGTTTGGGG